GCGAAATGGGAGACCCGAGATCGTCGCAGGAGAACATAGCGATGTATGAGATGGCCCTGGCGGATGAGATGAGAGATGAGCCTTGAGATGACTGAAGGGCCACCCGTCCAATAGGGTGGTGAAGTAAACCCTTGGTTTTGATACACCTCGGGTTTACTGCGGTTACTAACGGTATCGATACGGTATTGAAACTGTCGGGGGTCGGGAGGTAGGTTTCGATACCGGCACGTGATCACTTCACGTGACGGCGCGCTGGCGCTAAGAGAAGCTGAGAGTGGCGGGACGAGGGCGGCGAGCCGCTGCGCCACATCACGTGTTAAAAACACGTGCCGGTATCGAAACCGTTACTAACGGTTTCAAAACCAGGGCCTCCCGGGGGGTCGGTATCAATACCGTTACTAACACCCCCCGGAGGTTTACTGCGCCACCCTACCGTCCAAGGTCAAGCTGGATTGAGGGTGTTCCGGGATGTGGCGCAAAAAGTTCTACAACAAAGGCACTACCAGGGATCGAACCTGGGTTACGGGAACAACTTCAACGCTAACTGCATCAGAATCCCGTGTGCTACCGCTACACCATAGCGCCGTACTGCCTGGTGTGACTATTCCCCTCGCTAGACAGGCGTTCTTCGTGGAACGTTCAATGTTGAATTTCCTACGGAAGAATCTGAACCATAGGTTCTTGCAAAGATGACAAGTTTCTGAAAGAATAACATGGGACACGGACGTTGCCGCCGAATTGGGCTTGCTCATAACAATTGTAGATCAGAAGTGAACCCAGAATAAAAAGGATTTGAAAACTAACGATTTTCACTCGTTCTGAAGCGCCTCAGCGGCTTCGTAAACTGCAGACCAGTCTTGACAGACATGTGTCGTCTCGCTAACGGCGACATGGGGCCCAACATGATCTCTCACAGATTCCAAGTGAATATTGGCGCGACAGAGCACCATCTGCCGCAAATAATTCATGCAATGCCGAACCAGTCGACTCGGCGGCTGTCTCTGTCCTGGGTCGCGAAAGGCGACAATACCTTTCCGTACAATGTTGAGACAGCGTAGCTGGTGGAAGTACGAGATGGTGAATTTCTCTTCGTTGAAGGAAAGCACGCCATTATGAGGAACGAGCGCTTCCCACTCCGCATCGCCCAGAGAGTTGTTGAAAGAGTAGTGCCCAGTGTTCTCGACGCTCATGTGCACTATATCCAGAGCTCCTATGTCCCACGTCCGCGGGAAATCTTGTCCAACATACGCTACGTTATATTCGTCAACCGCTGAACATGCCAACTCTGAGGATTCGCTCACTGTATTCGTGTGTGATCACAGGACTGGAGATATACCTGCTGTACCTGACTGCAACAGCAAACAGCAGCAAGACAAGAAGCGAATATAAAGCGAGGGAGGTCGTCGTTATCCCGGAGTGCCGCATGGAAGAGCTGAATGAAGACCGTTTCTTGATAAGCTCGCACTTTTCAATTAGAATGGTGATAGGCCGGAAACACATTATCAATTCATCGACCACAAAATCAGACAGGCAGAACGCGAAGCTCCCTATAGCTGTCAGAAGCGCATTCAGTCTACCTCGCGCTAGTTGGAACGTACCTATTACATCTAGAAACAAGATGCGATCGCATCAACATCGCGTTGGAAGAGACAATTCACTTCTTCAACTAGTAGAGAATGATTCAGCTTGGTTTGAGATTGATAGATGGTAAGAAATACCTGGTGCGGTCGGGTGGACGTATCGCTCGTCAACGGGGCCGGATTGGGCCATCATAGCAAGCATGATGGCGATTGCGATGATTCTGATTGCTGATAACATCGGGTGGGATCAAGACGAACGAATGCTAGGTATTTATTGGCGAAGATAGGCCAGAAGGCGGTATCTGTGGGCAACAGGTACGTAGAACATTGAGAATCGAGGTCCCGAAATGAGGTCCGGTCGAGAAATGCTAAGTCTAGTTCGTATTGGGATAAGTTGGGTTTGAAGACTAGCAGGCACGGTTCTGATGGGGCGGTGCTAAAGAGGATTCCAATTGACAGAAACGCCAGATAGATCCGGCGAGTGCTTGAACGTGGGATGACCATGTTGTAAGACGTGATGAGTTCGGAAGCGTTGCGATGCGCCACAAGAACTCGCTCGACGCCTTGAGGTGACCGATGACCGATGTCTGCGCAGAGAGTGGCCGTAGTGACTATGTAGATCCGGTTGCCGATTGACTCATTGAACCTATGCGTATCATGAGGGCATGAGGCAAGGACGAGCCTCGAGGTAGCCCGACGCGTTCCTGCCGGCAAACTCCGTTTTGTCCATCGTTTCGATTTCGCCTACTGGAGCTCGTCGTATAGAAAATTTCTACATAATAGTAGAAGGGAAAAAAGTAGTTTCATGCAGAGAATTTTCAACAGATCGCCGTCCTGGGTAGGATATCGCCACTGCTGCCATCAAACAACGCTGCGTATACTATTGCTTTCCTTCCCGACGTTGAATACCGTCGATCCGGGCGAGCGAAGCGCGTGTGAGTTGATCTGGGTGGTCGCCTGACTAGCGTCTTGGAACACGGGGTTAGACAATATCGCCTGGCGCGTCGACGACGTCCATGCCTTCTGGTTGATCACTCGGGATATGATCAACAGCGGAGCAATAATCTAGGACATAGTACTTCAGTTACAGGGCACCGCTCGGTGCGTGAATCACTTACCTGTGTCTGTGACAGGATGGGCAAGAACACGGCGGACACTAAGCTGCCTGCGCCGTAGCATCCGATGAACAACAGAGATGTAACCGCGTAAATGGCCGAGCTCTCAACGAGTAACGCAATGATGGAGCTATAAGGAAGGTGCATTGACCCCACATTTTTCCTGAGCCACATTTGGTGCACGAACAGCCGACTCGAAATAAGGAGAGTGAGAAGAACATTCAGAGATGTCGAAAGTGAAAAGTAGGGAAGCGCAAAATCGATGGTTACGCTGTTCCAAATGCCAGCGTTAGGCTTCGAGCTCTGGAAAATAGTCATAATTCCCATGGCTAAAGAAATGTTGAAACTTCCATACTGAGGGAAGGAGATTGGCTCACAGATCGAACCGAGATACAGCAAGCCAGGTAGTCCGAGCACCCAATAGTGAGAGTCCCAAACAACTTTGCAGCGGTAGAGCTGTGTAGCATATAAGTTAGTCGTCGCTAACGAAAGGTATATACTAACCAATAGAGCGTCTGCCATCCAATTAGCCAAGATAAACACAGTATTCGGAACGACGATGATCGCCTTATAGGCTTCCGCCTGAGCCCACACTTCCGGACCGCCGGGGAAGTTGCGGTTATCGATGAAGCTGAGCACGGCGACGTTGAGATTCATGGCCATGAACACGGTTCCAAGCGCAAAGAGCACAAAGACATAGACGGCCAAGGGGATGTTACGAACGCGCGGGGCCTTGGGAAACAGGAGCCCGATCATACATCGCACGAACAGCAGCACGGTTATGCCTACAAGTCGATTAACATTGAAAGAAGGATGGACGAAGCGCATGAAATAACTAACCGTACAACATGTCCGCGAGATGCATACCGATGAAATCCGACTTTTCGAAGGATATCAGCTCGGGTGGCTCCTGCGGAGCAAAAGGATTCCCGACGGCGGAAGAGTTTGGGCTAGACATTGACCCACACTCGTAGGAAACAGAGCTGAGGACAGTAAGACGACGTTAACGAGACTAGCTTCGTGTAAGGATATTTATACGACCGTAGGTGGGTCGGCGCATTCCTTGATTTGAATCTTCAATCAAGAAGTACGTCTGCACGATGGCCTCCTTGAAGCAGGAAATCGTTCCCCTACTCTCTTGAGAAGGCACGAGGCTCATCTGAGTGAAACGTGATCTCTTTTGGCCTCTTTCCTGTACACGAATCAGATGATGGCACAACTGGAACTCGCACATCAGGCACGGTGAGAGACTAGAAGAAGAAAGTCGACAATTTCGGTTTCAATTACGAGCGGTGCAGATGCGGCCGTTTCTTGAAGCCGCCATGTCCGCGGTATCAGACAGCAATCCGCATCCAATTGAATGGTATTGACAGTACGGCGCAGAACAGGACTCGGAGGACGTTCGAATCGGCTAGAGGAAGTATTCTTGAAGCCAAAGTGATCCGCTGTACGAGTTCTGGCACCATCATCAGATTCTGCCGAACATTGAATGAGCGCCACTGCACCCAGGAATGCAGTAAAGAGTGACCCAGGAGGTCCGTTCAAGTGAATGACAGAAGAGCCTTCAGATAAGCGCTTACTCAAGAGATTATCAGAAGCCTGACGAAATGAATGGCCAGAACAGTCGAGGATTTCAATAGCATTGTGTAAAGTACTTGCCTGAAGGCAACCCGAAGGCAACCCGAAGGGGAAGAAACGATGAAACGATGTCAAAGGAGACGGAAGGAGAGAGGTGACTCAGCACAGCCTTCGCCGATCAACCAAGGTCACGCCTCGTTCCTTGATAGACCTGACATCTATGATCTTGACGCTGACAGCTTCAACGACCGCATGTACCAATGGATCTTGAAGCTAGAAAGTCCGGACGAGCTGCCGAACTAGACTGAATGTCTTCCTCAGCCTCGTACACGCCTCTGAACGTTTCAGAGGAGTCATGTAACGAACAAGATCGTCAACCTACTTCTAAGTCTGGTAAGTATTGTTGCTGTAATTCTCGCGTTCTGACGTTTTAAGTAGGCTACACAGCTTCACAGCGAAGGCTGGTTACGTGGGCGTGCATTGGCACTCTCATATCATCTATTCTCTCTATTGGTGTCTTCTACTTCGAGTCTTCCGTTTCGCATGCCACTCGCAGCCTCGCCCCGCTCCGTCGTCCTAGCACGTACATCAACTTGGACTCGGTGGCAATCAGCGGAGACAGGCCACCTCGTTCTCCAATCTATAACCTCCCCGATGTTATCCTCCAGTTCAGGTCCGATCCGTCCCGGAGTCTGTTCGAAGACTCTCGCTGGTATCGCAGCAATGTAGGCGCAATATATCCCGACGATAGACACTTTCTTGTCTCTTCTGAGGTACGCTGGGCGAAAACGCTTCTTCGTAGCGCCATTAATATTCATAAAACAGACATCAACTGTGGTGCAATTTCGAAGCCTGGACTACGGAATGGAAAGGTGCCACCTGAACCCGACCATTCCTAGCAGCAATACCACGTCCTTCGAGGCAGCAGTGGACGTGGACTTCTCGAGCGAGATCGATATCTGGATGCTGGACAGCAGCTCAGAGTTATCGAGACACACCTCATGGTCCGCCGCACCACCTCGCCGGTCACATTTCGCGACTGTCGATTTCTCTGGGAAAGGCCACAAGCCCGTAGAGTTTCGCTGCCCGTCGTCCTCGTTCACAATTTTCGAGTTCTCCTGTTCGGATCGCACACCTAATTGTTATATCGACTTTTGGCAGAAGAAAGAGCGTGTGCCGAACGGTAGAATCTTTCACGACTTTGTGTGGATTACGAACTTATCGGATACTTAGGCGTGTTCATGGTTCAGCATGATTCTACGGGCTGATTGTAAGCTGTACGATGTCGCAGCCTGTTCTCGTACTACTGAGT